TTTATTGACAATAACAAGTATTTTATGCAAAATTCAAAATAAACTAGTGGTATTATTTTAATTCTATAATGATATGAAATGATTAGATGATAAAGAAACCAACTATCAATAAAAAAAAAATCCCATTTAAACCATATATGAAACCTAAATTTTACATTTTTTGGTATTTTAACTAATAACTTTGTAATTATGAATGATTTTATATAGATAATTGTTTATTATTAATAAATATATTTACAATATAATAGTGTGATGAATAAAAAAATTGGAATAACAAAAAATTTTTATCAACAAAAGATAGTGGAATGCTGAGAAAAGGTATCAAACAAATTGAAGTAATATTTATTACTTAATATTACACAACCTTAAAACACATTAAAATAAATTTGAAATTTTAAACTTTGCGAAATCATTATAACAAGACATAATATCATAAAATCAAACATAATATTAACAATTTACATAGATTCAAAGATTAATCTTTAAATGAAGAACCAAACAAATAAATGAATATTCTAGATGAGCACTCAAAATAAGAGATAATATAACTCAGTTATAAATCGCATGAGAAACCATTCAATTATCAATTAATCCCAGAATATTCTATATCATAAAATGATCATTGTTTCACAATAGCTATCAATCAGGATGTGATTCAAAAATTAAAGTATTTGAATTAATCAAGGAAGAATAAAAAAAACTTAACTTTTATGTGAATATTAGAAAGAAGTATAAACACTAAACTTTATGAAGAAATCATAATTAATTTATTTCTGCAGATAAATCTATCATTATATGGTAATAGAATTAAAATAATTAATGGATTTCCAAATAATTATAAATTAGCTATATTGGTTATGCCTAGTGTTTAATATTAAATAATGATGAAGATTCAATGATATCAGGAAGTAGTATTAATTTTTGGATCAAAAACACTGAATGGATATGTTATTAAAAAATTAAAGATCATTCTAGTTCTATATTTGGATTAAGTTTTAATGTATAATAAAATAGAGTGTTATGTGTGGTTATGATAAATTAATATTAAGAATAGAGCAACAAGGATTAAATAATGAATGGTTTTTAATATAAAGATTACAGTTTAATAATTTGGATATCGAGTATGCTTTATTGATAATAATATTTTCACATTATCCCACTATTAAAAATAATAAACATTTATTTTTTGAGATAAACAGTATCAATCAATAGTTTTCAAAGACTAGAGATATTCAAGCAAAGTTGGATCAGATAATTATGGTTTTTTTCCTTAA